GCGGCGGGCCTGCGGTTTGGAGCCAAGGGGTCCTAAGCCTGGGCTCTCCGGAAGCTGGCCTGGAGCCCAGCCCCGGGGCGCGTCCCCTGCCCCGCGCCGTCGCCCTGCGACCCGGGCACTGGGAGGGCGGCCCTCGAGCCGGCGGACCCAAGGCTGAGGGGGCCAGAAGGCTTCCCCGAGGCCCCGCCTGGCAGCTACCGCCCTCGAGCCCCTTCAGTATCTGTGCAAACAGTGTCATGCGCCTCGTGGCTCCGTGTCTCCGCAGCGCCCCTTCCCCGGTGCCTCGGCCGGCCGGCCTCACAGATCACATTTCAGGCCTTTTTGTTCTTCTTCCAACTGGCCAGCGGCCACATCCCTGCTCCCCAGGACGCGGCCCTCCAGCTCTGCACGCCATGTGGCCCGCAGGCCCTCGCTGCCACCTGCCAGCCCCACTCTTCCGGGTCCCGTCCCCTCCACGGACCTGTCTTCCTGTCCGAGCAAATGACGGGTCCCTTCCCCAGTGGCTGCTGGTAGAATGGAAGTCCCAGGCGACCTGTGCGAGGACTCCCAGTAAGTGTCCAGGGAGAAGGAGCCCCAGGTTACACATTGCACCTTGACTGAGGACAGAGAGTTGTCGCCCAGCCCGTGGGAGTAGGGTGGGGGTTGCGGTTGAGGAGATTTGGGGTCACTTCCATCCCACACACCAGGGCTGGGTGTCCCGACTCCAAGGAGTCCCTCCCTTAATAATGCCAGGTCCACATTCCTCATCTGTAATTTCAAACCCAAAAGGCTCTGAAAGCCTATTTTATTTGGGTAAACTTGGCATCGACATTGATTTGGGGACAAAAGTTGGTGTGCACTTAGTTAGATAATCACGTTTCTCTGCAAGAATCAAGAAACGCTACCCCATGTTCCACCGGCGGCTTGTGTGATATTTGGTAGACACCCCGTATTACCTTTCAGAACGCCCTAATGTTCTGAATTGGGAAACACATCTGACCTAGGAGGCGGTGAATCCCAGCCCAGGGCCCACGCTAGCCCTGGCCCAGCGCTTTCCTCACTTGCAGCCGAGGCTCAGAGGGGCTCAGTGACGTTGCTCCCAGCACAAGGCCCGGCCAGGGGTCGTGCCTGCTCTTGAACCCCCATGCCCACGCTTCAGCTGCCACACTCAACTGCCGCCCTGAAGCCAGATGGCATTTGCCTTTTCCCTTCAGTGCAAACACATGGTCCACTGCAGTCAGATCATTCACGTTAACTGGTCAAGTGAACTTGCCAGAGCTGAGCAATACAAGTCAACAAATTAAAAGCTTCTATAGATGACTGGACTCAGCCTTTCTGCATACTCAAGAGTTCGTTTGTCAGCTTGCGTTTAGAAAGTACTCTTTTCAAAAACCAGAACCGGGATTACAGTGAAGGCCCAGTACTTCTGTGGTCACCATGATCACACTTGGAGATACCACGAACTAGTCCACATCACCATGTGCTGGGTGAGGAGAATTTTCTGAGGCTCGATTTGGCCTTCAGTAAAAGCCGAACAGGGTGGCCCTGCTGGGAGGGAGAAGCACGGATCTCCTGTCTTCTCTCCCCTGCAAGAGCGAGCAGGGCTGACTTCTTAGTCCTTCACAAATATGGAGAAAGGCCAAGAGAAGGAAGAGTGGAGTGGCTGACATGCCCAGCCTGGAAGCCCACTCTGTGTTTTGCCTAGAGGAGTGCCATGGACAGAATGGGGGAGCCTGGGCGAGGGGGAGTGAAAGAGACCCCCGCCAGCTGGTCAAAGATGGCCTTTCCCCTTTTCCAGCAGGCCTGGAGTTGTGTCAAGGGGACAAAGCCTGGCAAAGGGAGAGCCCAAGACGCTAGTAGGCCCCGCAAGTGCCGCCAATCTTGTGGTGGCCATGGGGTTGGGAGAGAGCACTGCTCCTATTCTGTCCTATTCACCATTGGTTTTGAGGGCCACATCTTAACCCCTAGAAAATGGACCTGGAGACTCAGGACCAGGAGTTAGTGATAGCAAACCTTCAGTGGTACTTTGTGCTGCCAAGCCCTGTTCAAAATGCTTTAGACATAGGGGTGCCTGTGTGGCTCAGTGGTTGAGTGTCTGCCTTTGGCTCAGGGCATGATCCCGGGGTCCTGGGATCGAGTCCTGCATCGGGCTCCCCGCAGGGATCCTGCTTCTCTCTCCCTCTGCCTGTGTCTCTGCTTCTCTCTCTGGATCTCTCTTGACTAAATAAATAAACTCTTAAAAAATAAAATCTTAAAAAAATGCCTTAGATGTAATAATGCGTTTAATCCTCAACCCACCTATCATCACCTATTGCCCATTTTGCAGAAGAGGCAATAGTTAGGAGATCAAGGCGGGAGCAGAAAGCTCCGGAGGCAGCGCCCCATGGCCGGGGTTACAAGCATGGGCTCTAAGGCCAGACTCCCTTCTCTGGCCCTGAGCTGCTCTGTGAGCGTGGGTGATTCTGCTGACCGCCTCGGTCTTCTCGGCTTTTAAGGGTACACTATCTCTATCTCTGGGAACTCAAGTGGAAAAAGGCAGGTGAAGTACTGAGTTGCATGCATGGCCTGTGGGCACTGGCCAGTGCTGGCAGGGAAGGCAGCTGTTGGCAGTGGTAGCCTCCCATTTGCGCCCCCTCCCGCCCTCCCCTTGGCTGATGGTGGTCACCTGAGCTCCTCCTAGCCTCAGGGAGCTTGGCTGCTCCCTCTTTCTCCTGAGCACTTTCTCTGGCTCACCTAGGTAATCAGTTGGGTGTGATTTTCATGCCTCCAGTCATTAAAGATTCTGCTTCTGAGCCAGCAGATCTGGTTCTGAGGCCACACTGTCAGGCTACAAATGTACCCCACTGGGCTCATAGCGTGAGATGGTGACATGGCTCATAGCGTGGCTCATGGCTCATAGCGTGAGATGGTGACATGTCTCCAGGCCGAGGACCTTGCCTGCTAGGGGGAGAGTTCCAGCACTGGGGCTGGTGCTCCCTGAAAAGAGATGGCAGGAAGCCCACCACATACTCAGACACAAGTGCTGCCGAACTGCACCAGTTCCCCGGTGCGGAGCTCTCTGCCTGCTTATGCTTCATGAGGCATGGAGGGGAAAGACACGGTCTCTATCCTCCAGGGGCAGCCCCAGTCACACTCACCCAGGGCCCTCAGAAAAGAGGTCAGCCCTGACGGGTGCTTCTCTTAGGCCAGGTCCCTGGCCAGGCTGTCCTCCTTGGCTGCTCTACAGAAGATGGAGGCAGCGTGGGAGACAGAAGTACCGACGATGGTCATGGAGAAGCTTCCTGGAGCAGATGGTGCCTGAGACTTGAGAGCCAAAGGAGTGGGACAGGAGGGAGAAGGTGGGAAGGGAGAGCCAGGCCCAGGGAATGGTAGCAGTAGGATCGAGAATGCAGAGTGGGCCAGGAACTATAAGCACTTCGGATGATACAAGTGAAGCGCTGGACGGAGCCCGATGAACACCAAGTCTAAGAAGGTAGAGGGAGCCAGGTGATGGGCCTCTGGAATCTTCTGAGCAATTGTGAAACATGATCAGTTCTCTATTATATCTGGTCTCTTGAAGGTGATGGCTTGAGTGATGGCTGGTTTACTGGGGGAAACCACTGTAAGAGTCAACTCTGAGTTCAGACAAAGAAGCAAGAGGACCTGAACTCAGGGATGGCTGAAGGCAATGGAAAGGAGGGACCAGAATGGACAGTGCCCCGGGCAGGCAGGTAACTGACATGGTCCCCAACAACCCCCGCCTCCTGGTGTTCACACCTTCATGCTCGTGTCTAATGAACAGAACACAGCAGAAGTGATGGGATGTCGCTGTCAAGATGAGGTTCTAAAGACTGTGACCTCTGACTAGCTGGCACTCCCTCTGTCTCTCTTGCTGGCACATTCTGTCTTGCTTACTCAGATGAAGTCGGCTGCCATGTTGTGAGATGCTCTACGAAGAGGGCCACATGGCAAGGAACCAAAGGAGGCCACTAGCCAACAGCTCATGAGGAACTGAGGCCTTGGTCCAACCACCTGCAAGGAACCACTTCCTGCCAACAAGCTCGGGAGTGAGCCTGGAAGCAGAACCTTCCCGGTGGAGCTCGAGGTGACCACAACCTTAAGAGTGACTCAAGGCCAGAAGACCCAGCAAGGTGATGCCAGGACTCCCTGCCCACAGAAACTGCGACTTAATGCACATGTGTTGTTTTAAGCGGATGTTTTAGAGTAATTTGCCACCGGGCAAGAGATAACCAATACAGGCAGGGGTCAGAGCAATGGCAAGGGAAAACCATGGTCGACACCCCCCGGGGAAGGATCAGCTGAGTCCAGTGATCGATCGATCAGATTGCAGGAGATGAGGGAGAGGGAGAAGTCACAGTGATTTTGAGAGGAGCACCGGCTCTGGACTAGGACTTCCTGGTTTCCAGTGCCTGCTCTGCCCCTGGCTACCTATGTGACTCTGGGCAAGTCATTCCAACTCTGCGAGCCTCAGTTTCTTTGTAGAACAGAGATGCTAAGAGTAAGTCCTTTCTAAGTATCTGCCCTTTCCATTTAGGACCTGCCTCAGTGTCCAGCGCAGTGCTGGAAGGGCACGCTGCAGCTGCTCAGCAGAAGTGTGCTGTGCCATTTCTAGAAGGCTCAGTGTGCAGCCTTATGCCAGCAGTAACAAGACTGGAAGGCTTCGGTGCAATTTCCTTGCATCCTGCGAAGCCTCCACTAGTCCTGTGTGAGGGAACCCACCATGCAGCCCGGTGCGGGGACTTGTCTCCCCTGGTTCCTTCCCCTGCCAGCACCTTCTGGGTGCATTTTTCCTCCCAGGGGAGTTTAGCAGCCTGCACAGGAACCGAAACCATACCCTGGCCTCGTTAATACTGCATTTGGACCATGCGGAATCAGCTGGCTTAAATAGACTTTTCCAGAGTCAAGTCCCATCTTGGAGAGGACTGCAGCCAAATTTGCCTCCAAGGCCAGGTTACCAACGGCACAAGACACGGATCTCATTTCCAAAACCAAGGAACGTGAGCGGACGCGAGTCGTCTTACCTGTCTGGGCAGAGAAGGCATGGAGTCCGGGGCCACTGACCGCTGAAAGCGCTGGGGCTGCTGCATCATCTGCTGCAGGAGGAACGAGGAGTGGTCGGGCTGCTGCTGCTGCTGCTGCTGCTGTTGCTGTTGCTGCTGCTGTTGCTGCTGCTGCTGCTGCAGCTGCAAGGTGGCCGTGGTGGTGGACGAGGCGGTGGCCGAAGAGGTCGGCGGCGGCTGCTGCAGGTAGTGGAGCAGGGACGGCTGCCGAGAGGCGGCGGGCACGGAGGGCATCTTCTGGGGGCCCGGCTCGGACACGAAATGCGACAGGGGCTTGGTGTTGCCAAAAGTAAAGGGCTCCGGGGCTCCCGGGCCGGGGCTGGCCAGCCCCTGCTGCATGATCATGCTCAGGGTCTTGGGTGAGTTGGTGGTCATGGACTTGAAGATGGCATTCGCCGGCTGCTGGGGCGGTGGGGGCGGCGGCGGCGGCGGCTGCGCGAGCGGGTTGCTGGAGGAGGGGGTGAGGCTCCGGATCAGGGAGCACTGTGGGGTGAAGGACTGCTGCGGCAGGCCCGGGCTGGACAGCTTCTCGGGCCGGTAGGGCGGCGACGGCCCCGGGTTGCTGGTGGGCAGAGCGGACAGCAGGTGGCTCGGGGGGCTCTTGACGCCCGAGGACACCAGGTTGGCCAGGATGGAGCTCTGCGGGCTGAAGGGCGGCTGCTGGCTGAGCGCAGGGCTGGGGAGCTTGTCGGGAGTGTAGAGCATGGGGGGCCCGAGGCTGGCGCTGCTGGCCGAGGCCATGCTGGCGAGTAAGGCGTTGGGGGAGGCTTGGAACGAGCTCCCCGGCAGGTTGCTGGACGCCATGCAGGACACCATGAGGCTCTGCGGGCTGAACTGCGGCGGCGGCGGCGGCGGCGGCGGCGGCGGCGGTGGTGGCGGTGGTGGCGGGTGTGGCGATGGCACCGGGCGGTAGGATGGGGACAGGCCGGGCGGCGGCAGGCTCGACCAGCTGGGGGTGGTCCCCGGCTGCCTGGCAGTGGCCCCCTGCTTGCTGGCCGCCAGTGCCTTCAGCTGGTGGGCGTGATGCCACTGATGCACCGGGAGGGCGGGCACGGTGATGGGGAGCATCCCCTGGACCTGGCTCTTGGCCTGCGATGCTGCTGCCGCCGCTGCCGCCGCCGCCGCCGCCGCCGCCGCCGCCGCCGAAGAGCCCGGGGAGGCTACCTGCTTACTGGCCGAGGGGATCACGTAGTTGAGCCCCCCTGGGGAGGGTGGGACGTGAAGCGACGTGGCGGCGCCGGGCAGCTGGCTGCAGCTGGAGGCGAACTCCTTGCTGGTGGCCAGGCTCTCCAGGTGAGGCATCGCAGCCGAAGGCTTGGCAGGTGCACCAAGGGTCGCCTGCGGGTGCTCTAGGACCAGTGGTTCTTCTGGCTTGCTCCCCAGTATCTTCTCAAGATCCAGGTCATTTGGAGAAGGTTCTTGAATCTTTGTTAGCTCCTCCAGGAGATCTTGAAGTTCCTGGTCCACGGCTGGCACGCTGCCGGCTTTGTCGTAGTAGGGACCGGCAGGCCCTTTGACTCCCAGCTCTGCAGCGGGTGGCACCACGAATGGCGAGCCCATGACGCTGCCGTTCAGGGGATTAGTCTCGAGCGGTAACGAGTGGCTTGCTACTCCCACAGCTGCGGGACTAGGGTTCATTGTCAGCGGAGGGACCTGCAGCTCTGCGCACGACGTGCTGGGGTGGGCACTGGGGCCCATAGAAAGGGTGACATCTTCCAGGCAGGGCCTCTTGATTTTATTAGGGTAACCCCCGTCAGCCATGCCTGGAAACTGGAAATTATCTGCTTCCTGTCTCCTTTTAAAGGTTCCCTGTGGCAGAGAGAGAGAGAGAGAGAGAGAGAGAGAGCAGGAGAGAGAGGGAGAGAAAATTTGTATAAAGCCTTGGCACATTAAAGCTAATGAACAGGAAACTTGCAAGATAAAACATCTCTCAGTTTCAAGACTTATAGTTGTCAAAACTATACAATACAGCCTATTTTGGGAACCTTAATGCTTGCTTCTTTGTTGCTGTGTTTCACTTAAACTGTCTTGTTACACTTCAAATTAGGCATTATGCTGTCTGTGTACTAAACGCCACAGGAAGTCCCACAAAGGATCTTCTCTGCCCACGTAAGGGGGGAGCTCAGCTCAACTATGCGGAAGCCACAGAACGCACTGTGCCCCAGACAGGCATTTGAGGGCACGCTGGAAGAACTTCAGGTACTTCCAATTCCTACCTGTCTACAGATACCCCCGTTTCTAAAAAGGAAAAGCAGGACACAGACATTGAACTTTTAGGTTGCCTCCCTGTCTTGGTTAAACCCGGCAGACTGTGGCAAAACAATGGAACACAGCAGAGCCTCTAGAGCAAAGGGGATCTGGGTGTGTGCTTTCGGGCAGCTGTCTGGGCTATACTGTTCAGCGGAAACACAAGTGCAGAACAGTCAGGGGGTGCACGGGCTCCTTTATTTTTGTGCACACACACACACACACACACACAGCTCGCTCGGTGCATACAAAAATCACTTGGAAGAACATACATGCGACCACGTGGAGTAGTCAGCTCTTGGGGGTGACTGGCGAGTCCCTTTCTATTCTCTGCAGTTTGGAATTGCTTGTTTGTTTTTAGTGAGAATGCCTCCTAACCACCGCCCCCCGTCAAAGTATAAAGCTATCTAAATAAGAAATTCCTCTCTGCAGATGCATCCTCAGGTCGGGGAGATACGGAGCAACAGGAAAAGGACCCAATCTGCGATCTGCACCTTGGGGGAGCTGCTCACCATTTACAAAAGCATAGCCTTTGGGAACAAAGCAGTTAGTGATGCAGTGCTTCCTACTCGTTCAAGGCTTCATACAGTCATCTGTGGCTGTCATGTTCATGACCGTGACCTGCAAGTAGAGTGGGGTGGACTGGGGGACTGTGTGGGAAGAGTGGGGCTCTGGAAGTCACCTACATACCCTCAGCAGAACAGATGCACTGTGGACCCTTGCAAAATGCCCCATGGTCAAAAATCCGACTGTATCTTTGGACTCCTCCCAAAACTTAACTACTAATAGCCCTCTGTGGACTGGGAGCCTCACAGTAACAGTCGGTTAACACAGGGTGTTTGGGGTGTTATATGTATCATGTACTGGATTCTTATAACCGAGTAAGCTAGAAAAAAAGAAAATGTCATTAGGGAAATCATGACATAGATTTACAGCACGGTCTTGCTTCTATAGAAGAAAACTGCCTATCAGCAGACCCATGCAGCTCACACCTGCATTGTTTAAGGGTCAACTGTATTTCTCTGGATGCTATTTTTCAGTAAGAAATCCCTGTTTAGCTTTAGAAGGCTGACTGGGACATTCGTTGTCAGTCCTTAGACATCTGTCATGTTCGGCTCATTGGAGTGGCGGGGGGGTGGGGGGTAGTAAGGTGGGGGGTGGCGGTAGGGTCAATGTGCATGGGGAGGCAACCTGCTAGCACCACACTGGCCACAACTCTCACGACACAGTGAACATCAAAAGATATCTCCTGGGGCTGGACATCCCAGGCCCGGTGCTCATCAGATTCACTTAGAAACATCCGGATTCCCAGGGTCTCCCCCTACAAATGAACTGCTTCAGTCTCACCCAGAGCAGGGCCCAGGGATCTGAGGTTTTTCAAAGCTCCTGGTTCTAAATGCACAGCCAAGTTGAGGAGCACTGGCCCAGAGCACGAGTGGGGGCAGTGTGGCAAAAGGCCCTGGTTCTGGATTCTTCCTTTGTAAAAGGAGCATGATTTTAGTCCTTGTCTCATGATGCTGCTCTGAGTAGTAAGTAAAATGAGGCAGATTCGATGGCACCTAGTAAATCCTCCCTAACTGGTCACTGCCATTACCAAGGGCAGCCACGCAAGGGCCTTGGAAGTCTGATGCTGTCCTGGGAGAGGCAGGGGCCCTGACACCCAGAGAAGGGGAAGGGCTTGCCCAGAGCTACTTGGCTGGAGGGTAACAGGGCCCGGGCATCCTGGGCCCTCTCCTTGACCCCTTGGCTGCCTCACAAGCCACTGCCTTTGTCCACCCTGGTGACAGGACACTGTCTCACTTCCACGGAAGGGGCTCTACTAGCTGGAGTGAGGGAACCTGCTTCCTTATTTGCCTCTTCTTTGCAACACAGACAACGGGACTTTGAGGGGCAGCTCTGGTGTCCAATCCATCTGGGGCTGAAGGCCGCAGGGCCGGCAAGAACGGGCCGTGGAGGGTGGAGCGGGCTAAGAAGAGGCCTATCCGGTCATCTGCGCCCACTCTTCCTTCCAGGGGCAGTGGAGTCTGTATCAGTCCACAGCAGGTGTTCAGTAAATAGCAGCTGAATGAATCAACGGACAAATGAATCCGGATGACCTGGCACACAGGGACCTCTGCTACATGTTTCCTGGCCATTCATTCAATCAACTAGAGGGGCAGCCCGCAAACAAGTCACGGAATCCCAAACTGAAATTTCGTTTCCTTGACATTCTCCCAAGGGAGTTCAAAGAATTCCAATATATTGAGAGTAGAAAGTGATGGAATGGATGAATAAGGGATGAGTGAGGGTGGGTTTGACCCTGGATCCCCTGCAGGGAGCCCGAGCTGGCAGTGGCCAGGCCCAGCGTGCTGCTGGGGAGGTCGTGGACCACGGCACAGGCCTGATGACACTGAAGTCCCCGTGGCACCAGGCAGGGGGTGTGGATGGGGTGTGAGGAGTGGGATGGAAGGGAGGGCAGGGGCTGTGAGCTGCAGCAGCCTGGAATCCCTGGTGGACTCTGCAGTTTCCTGGACCTTTCTTTAATTGTCAGTCTGCCATGACCTGGTTGGGACCTAGGTAGCAGGGCATGGGGAGAGACCTGGCACCACCACGAGATCCCACATCTCGCATGAGGAACCCCTGGCAAGGGAAAGCACTCTCTAAGTCTCCCAAATGAGGGGGCCCATGCATACAAATTTCCAGGCCCCCAAGCCAATGCTCCCCACTCAGTTCCAATTCTGGAAGCCAGCCGGCTCCTCAACAGTGAAGCAGACCCCAGGGTGCCCCTGCAGGGTGTCGGAGGGCTAACTGGTACCAGTGAATCCAATTTGCCCGAGTGGATGCCACCCTTGCTGCGCCAAGTTGGCAGCTCAATGCCCCACTGGACACTTGGGGAGGATGTCTAATCAGGGGCCAGGGTGGCCTTGCTGTCCCTAGGGGCGCAGTGGCAGGGGGTGTGGATGCTGGCTGAGGATGGCTTCAGCAGGGCAGCCGGGACCCTCATGTGCGCTTCCCTCTTTCAATGGACTTCAGGGAGCCTTGGCTTTGTGGGAGATCTTGGCTCTGGGTTTCGGGTTTTATGCTGAGAGCTTTCGACAGCCAGCCTGAAGCACCCCGGCTACACGGCCAGAACCCCAGCCAAGCTGGGGGAAGGTGGCTGTGTTCACAGTAAGGAGGTCTGCGGACCAGGTCTCCCAACTTCGGTCCCTGGATACAGGCCGGCTGTCATGCCTTCTGTTGGGCCGGCCTGGGATGTGCTGCTCGTCTCTATTTCTCGCAGCCGCCTGGGCTTTCCCTCATCCCCACACTGGCACCTTCGCCAGGTCACCTGGGCCAGTGGGTGCCGGGCCGAGGCCTGCCGGGCCAGGCTGCGTGGTGCTGACTAATCCCAAGGTCACCATTTCAGAGCAAGTGCAACAGAAGCTGCTACTCTGGAATGATTTCCCTCTCAAGCAACTGGAAAACATTCCTCACTAGGCTTCCAGACCCTTCTAAACAAACCTTCCAGCCTTGCACGTGTGCCATTGTGTAGTCTCTGTGGACTCGGATGGCAAACTATTGATATCAGCTACCTGCTTCCTTAGGCCACGTATTGCACATGATCCTGCCCACTCGCTGGGAGATGGCTTTTAGATAATAAGCAAATCAGAAGAAAAAAATTAAGTAAATCAGTAGACAGTGGCAGGATTTCTAGAGGGCACATCTCCATTTTCTCCTTTTACAGAAAACGGAATGGGATGTGACTTGCTTGTGGTCACACAGCTAGTTAGTGGACAAGGCACTAGACCCCAGGTGTCCCAACTCCCAGCCTCAGCGCTCACAGGTGTTTGGGGGCGGAGGAGGGGGGGGGCGCGGGAAGGTGAGGAGGTTCCCTGGCTTCTTCTAGAAAGGAACAGCCATCTCCAATCCCGAATGCCTGCGGAGTCCCATTTCATAAGCAGGCAGAGAGCCACTGATGTGATCCCCACAACCGTATGAACACTCATTAAAATGTACTTGAGAGCATGTGGTGGCTTCCCCGCCCCCTCAATATGAGAAAAGTAAGGCAACCCTTCTGACAGGGGCTGAGTTCAGCTCTGAAGTCAATATTATTTCTGGTTCTGTCTGAACAATGCCATGGTGATTCTTGCCTTTCTACATTTTTAGTCCAGAAGGACGAAAAGGGATTTCTTGGCAAAGGTCTAGATGATAAGAGTACAGTCTAGGCTCATAAAGTGGGCATAAGGAGGAAAAAGCATATGATTTACGTACATGTATATATATAAAACATATTCTAAATATATATATACATGTAAAATACATAAATACATCACTCTTCTGAAAGAAATCTAGCAGCCTGTTATAAACACTTAATTATGGAAACTCTAGCCGGAGCTTTAACATGGACACCAACAGGCCAGCAGAAATATGCACCGTTCCTGCTGGGTAAGAACGTAGGAGGCCAGAGGTGTCAGAAACGTGTTCACTATTAGCTTTCACCTTCTCCTGCCCTGGTGCCTCCCGCAGGTCAGCTTAGGCCAATCTGCTTGCTACTTCTCTCAGCCTCTCTCTCAAATCTTTCTTCGGTACTAGTTCTACATTCC